CAAATCAGTCCGTGCTTTATTGTCAAAAAATTGTGACAGCTCCACCAAACGCAACAATACGTTGTTTCTGTTGACTAGCTTTAAGCAGAATCGGGACATTCGTGGCCATTGAGCGCAACAGAAGAACTTGTAGGTTCAAAGAGTCAATAACAACCTCCATTTTATATTCATTTTTCCAAAACGTGTTTATTTATGGGAGTACTCATATACACCATCACTCAGGCTCACATTCATAAGCTTCATTCAGCGTTCAAGTGGGATTTGCCAAGTGCAATGAAGATTCTTGAACCACCACAGAGTGGTTGCATTGGAGAAGAAAGCAATTAAACACCCTGCCTGAGGGCATTCGCATGCTCCAAAATTAGACACCAACCACTCTAGTATCGTGAACTTTAAAAGTCTGGTATTGTATTGTCTTTCTGTACAGTATACTTCATGACAGTTCATGCATACTCGCAATACCATATACACAGGTACAATGTATATAATTTATTTGATGTTTTAACATGATACTCTATTGAAAAAGAAGGAGAAACATACAGCGATATACAGTAAAAATCTAAGCCTAAATACATTTTGTGGCAGCACAGAACGTTTCACATTCCATTATGGGACAGAGGCCATACAACACAAAGTATCTGATGGCTGTTTTCTTTTCTTACTTTCCGTAGGCTCATGTGGCATAGAGTAATCTCCAAAAATGAGCAGTTGGCAGTTTTTGTAAATGTGTTTGCAGACGATCGTTAAGTCTCTTCAAGTTAGGAATTGTTGCATGCACGATAAACAAGTATTTAGTTTGTAACAGCTCATGTCCTTAGCATTTAAATTCCACTTTGTAGTTTGGTCATAAAAAAAAAAAGGCTCATACGACAGACATTTTTATATCTCAACATGTGACCCAACGATAATAGGTTAAAACAAACCAGACATCAGGTCAGGAAGAGCTTTTTGACTTGCACCTTAAATGTTTTTTATATTTTTTAGGTTCAGTAATCAATTAACAACACTCTGGAGCTTTGTCAACGTTCCATAAGTACAACTGTTGTTCTCCAAACTACACAAAGCAGCTTAAAATGTCTTTGGACACAATAGTTCTATAACTTTACTGGTGTTCAACACAGCAAATCACCACACAGTGCTTTGTGCTTGACGGCAAAGTCAAACATTTTACCCTTATTGTGTTCAGACAGAGTGCAGATCTAATTTTAACATTGTTTTAAGTAAGATGGTAAGAAAAAAAAATCCAACCATTCGGTATCTACGTTAACGTACAGAAGCCAAGAAAAGTCATACCTGCAAGATTGTGATTTCACTACATTCATCTCGAAGCTAGTTTTTTTCCTCGCTACTGGAAAAGATTGCGTGTTTTCTCGAGATAACCTGTTGTCTCAAGGTGGTATGTTAAGAATTAAATTTTTTTTTAACTTGTAATTGACCTTTTTATAGTTACTAATACTTACGCTCAAGTCAATATTTTGCAATGCTTTGTGGTCTTGATAGATTCATGCCTACATTTCGGTTCTTTGACATCTTAAATTTATTTGTCGTCTGTGTATATTCTTTACTATCACTAACTATGGTCGCTTTATCTGACAAAAACATGTTTTTATGTTTGATGTTTCATCTTTACTTTTATTTTCACCAACTTGTTTGAAACCACACTTAGTCTAAACAGTGTTCATGTCTACTGATGTTTCAACTGCTCTGCGGCCATTCAGACACCTGGTAACATTGTACGCCGATGATACTTTGCTATCACAACGTAGAATACCAATACAACTAATTTATAAATAAGCAGCACAATGTTTTAGTGGTTAGCAGTGTTGCCTTATACAGCAAGAAGGTCCCAGGTTCAATCCTGGGTTTGGTCCTGGGGTCTGTCTGTGTAGAGTTAGCATGTTCTCCTTGTGTTTTCGTGGGTTTTCTCCGGCCGCTCTGGTTTCATCCCACAGTACAAAAACATACATGTTAGGCTGCATTCAGGCCCAGACCACCTTGCAAAATATTTCTGTGATCTCAATGGGATTAGCTTCATTAAATAAAGGTTAATTTGCATATAAAAGTAAATAGAAAAGCAGATGTAACAGATGAAAAGACTAGAGCTGAACACTGGCCTTGAAGTAGCTATGAAAGTATTTTGGGTAGGGTGCCTGATATACACACTAGAAACTGTAAAAAGGTCAATTGTAGGACGATTATGAAGCAATATTTCCTGTTACACCTAGTTCAGTATTGTTGTCAGGACACATTTCTTTTTAGTATATTAAAAAAAAACTTTCTAGGTCAAGACAGTTTAATATAACTTGTAAATTCCAGCAAAGAAGCTACGTTGCCTTAAGATGATGGTACTAAACTGTTAACACAACAAAACAGATTTTACTATGAAATGCATAGATTTTAACCCAAGATAACATCATGTATATATTTAGGCAGAACTTTTCTTGTCGTCTGTACAAATGAACACAACAGCCAGACTTGTGTGTGGATACCTACGCTCTGCGAGGCTGTGTCTACAAAATGTCTAAAAAAGACCGTTCCGTCAAAATGGTGGAAATTTGTTTGTGCCTTGCATAATGCCTGAACACACCTTTAGCAATATGTTTTGACTCTAGTAGAATTAATTAATCAAAAAGTTATTTTTCTTGGACCTAGTTCACGATTGCACTCAACCCCGTCTACACAGTAGAAAACGCGACAATGGGTCACTTGGATACAGAATCAACGCAAGCCCTATTTTATTTGACTGAGGTCATTCCTGCTCCCAGAAATCAAGTTGCATTTGTGCTGCGACAATCCAAGTACAATACATTCAGTTATTTGTCATATACTATAATGTACATGTTGTGTTTTAATTCTTCTGTGCTTAAACTCCCTATTGTCGTGCATTTTTTAAAGTATCTACGTCTTCTCTTACATATTCAAAACGTGGATGTGTTTCAACGCCTGAACGCTTTGACATTTGAAGTAAACGGTCAACTTGTAACTGATTCCTCTGCAACGTTAGGGTGGAATGGCACAAAAAGAGCCGGACAGGAATGCAGTTTCTTTTTTATCCACAAAACTCCTACAGGCGGACATTTGTCTCAAGCCGAGCGAGCAGCCCAGAAATTAAACGAACTAACGATGCCTTTTGGTCGCAAAGTCCATGTTTCCACGTCTCGTCATGCACATGCAGGTTTAAAACACAATCGCTTCACGTCCTTTTCTTTGTTCCTATCACTTGCAACCTAAGAATGGGGGTGGGGGGTTTGTTACATTCTAATGGAGAAATGAAGACCATGGCTCGTTATCCTCTCCCTGAAAAATGGATCTGATACATTCAATGCTAGTGTGTGCTTCAAATTCCTCCACAGTCTGGTTGCTCTGGACTCGGTGAAATCCACTGGCGTTGCCTTTCCCGCTGTTCGTACAGCCATGCGAGGAAAAATGTCTGTTTGTTTTTTTTTAAAATCATCTGGTCTTTACCAGGTTTGAACATTTTAAATCTAACTTCAAGCACACAAAATCAAACCAAGCTTGAACATGAACTGCCTGAACTATCAGGAGGCCATCGTTCTACAGTTGAACACATTTTAATCTGTCCTCAAGCGTCAAAGTCCCAATAAATAAGTTTTGAACCATAGCTTTTTTCCATTTTGGCATATGTTTTGTTGTATAGATGATATGGTGGAACCTCTCCATCTTCTACCTCTTATCTGTAGTTGGGTCGTGGAGGCAACAGTATCAAGGGAGAAAGTGACACTCTCTGATCCCAAGGTGTCCCCAGGCCAGAGTGGATACATAATCCCTCCAGTAGGTTCTGGGTCTGCCCAGGCCTTTTACCAGGTCTCTTACTAGAAGGATGTGCCTTCAAATGGAGTTGCTCGAACCATCTCAACTCCCCTTTTAGATGCAGAGCACCAATACTGTGAGCTCCTCCCGGAGTGCAAAGCTCCTCACGCTACAGTATCTCGAAGGCTGAGCCTAGCCACCCTACGGAGGAAGCTAATTTTAGTCACTTGTATCCGGATCTCATTCTTTCAGTCGTGATCCAAACCTTATGACCACAGGCGAGTGTTAAAACATCGACAGACCAGTAAATTGAGCGCGTTGCCTTTCGACACAACTCTTTCTTCACTAAGATCGACTGAAGCAATGCCATCGTTACGGAGGACGAGGCCCCAATCTGTTGATCGCTCCATCACTCGTAAACAAGACGCCCAGATACCGGAACTCCTTCGCCTACGGCAAAGACTCCTCCCCCAACCCAGGTTGAGCCTGTAGTGTGTTTTTGCTAACTTGAGGTTAGACTTGAGCCCGGTAAAGACCAAATCACTTTTTGTTGTAATACGTAAACACTAGAATTGATAGAGGATTGACTTACTATTCCCCGCGACCATATAGTGACCAGAATGGTCCTTCATGGTCGGTTGATGAAGAAGGAATGTATCCAGAGTGCTCACGTATGCGCAAAACAAATTTGATGCTCGAAACTGTCCCGTCAGATGAATTATTAACTTTTCCCACTAAATATTCTGACAGTTCAAGTCAGAGCGACAATCACGAGTTGATCAATTTTTGGGTAATACATATAGTATATTATTATATATACATTTACGTATATACACGCCTATGTACTTATGTACAAAAAATAATAATTCCACCATATTGTCGCCACAAAATAATTTGTCTTAAGAAAAAACAAATACAAGAGTATAAGGAAATCAAATAAATACGTAAAGTCAAGTACAAAAATATTACACTATTTTATGGGTTCAGTAGTAACCGTGGTGTCCAAAGGGCCATTGGCAGTTTTTCTAAATAAATAATTAAAACTTTTTTTAAGGAAGTTGAGTAAATTTGAGTGCAATTCTGTCATGCAATCGTGTGAAGTGCTTTTTTTTTTGTAAGATAAAAGTGGAAAAAGTTGGCAGTTTTAGTCACGAGTTGTGCTTATTTTCCCCTCCCCCCCCCAAAAAAAACCAACACTTTCGTTTCTGGAAAAAAAAAAAAAAAGACCCCAAAAAATTGAAAACCTGAGTCAAAAATCATCCTGAAGGAAGGGAAGAGTCTCGGTTTTCAACTATTGAGTCTGGGTAATCAATCCATGGTAGAGTGCAGTACGTAAAAAGTATATTTTCACTATAAACACGTACACATCGGTTTTTTTTTTTTTGTAACAATTGTGCCATAACCCAAGGAAAACTACGGCCGATCACCACATGCATTAGTAGTGCATAGCATAACACAGTTTAATGAATTCTTAAATATTGCCTGCACCCGACCAACTGAGTCGTAGAAAGTTTTCTATTCTTTTTTCTTTTGAATAAAAAAACTCATTTACCTTAGCTGTTTTTTGTGTATATTTCCCCCCTTTTTAAAAATACCATTATTTTATAACTTGCTGGCTTTATACTTTACTATTCACACATTATCGCGAGAGAAAAGTTAGTATTTGACGTCACACTTCCAAATTACAATACATAGTTTTAAAAATAAAAAAGTACCTTATTCTAAGATTCAAAGACCGCAAATATAAAAAAAACAATTAAGATGAGAACTTGGTCCAAGACTTCAAAGTCTTATCTGAGCCTGTTTTTTTGTTTGTTTGATTCACTTGCATCGTTGCAGTCTTTGACTCTACAGTGTCCGACGTGTATAAAGACAAAAAGAGCAAATAAGTGAAATAAAACCCGAGTCAAACAAAGAAAAAACATCAAAATGGGTCAGTCAGACATAGTAAAGCCAGTAGATGAGGTTGAACAAGGAAAAAACAGAGGGGAAGATGATACGCGACCAGCGGTCGATGGCGTTCACATCCGTTAGGTCGGGGATTTTGATTTTAAGCTGCGAGGACCGCCTCCGTAGGCGGCTGCGTTTCATCTGAGCGGACCGGTCCAAGGAGTGGCGGCTGGCAGAGCGCGGCCCTACACCGCCACTCTGCTTGCGGTACTGGATGTGCGACGAGGCCGTGCTGTCCAGCTGGACCATGGACTGAGAGTTCCTAATGTCTGCCACGCTGGTGGTGATCTCACCTCCTGCCACTTCGTTGTGGATCTCCAGGGTGGTCAGCAGGATGTTCCCATGACCGTGGGGCTCCGCCTGGAAAGATGAAAAATAGACGATCGTATTACAATCATGAATGCACCTCAGCAAACGTAGGACCAGAAAACACCAAAGAGAAATGGTGCACATTGAAACAAATTATCTTCCACTGCCGGTGCAGTTTGCTCCTATAAGAGCAGGGAAATTAAACCAGTATCGTTAAGCTGTGAATGAATTGCATCCTACCAATGTTTGTCTGTGAAAGACCAAATGAAAACCAATAGATATTATTTTTCTTCACACTGACTGATACAATAAGTAATGCCAACTTCTGTATGAGTTTCTACTCATTGTATGAATTCTATCACAGATAGCTCTGACTTTCAGTTTCTCTCCAAGTATCATGATTATCAGCGCACCAAATATAGATTTTCCCATTTTTTGATTGATGTGAAAATCTGTCCGTTTTCAGCCAAATCGTTGAGACAGCAGAAAACTTGTTCTTCAAAATATCCTGAGTGATTTGGACCAGGCTCCTTGAACTTCTTCATGGTAGAGTTGGCAAATGATCTGATTTATACAGAACCTGAACAAGAGGCACAAATTAAAATGTGACCTCATATAAACCTTCATACGGTCACATATGAACTGGTGAATAAATAACAAAAATAAATAAAACAGAAGAAAAAAAAATCAAACACAAAACTTTATGTGCCGGAGAATTACTTGTTCACAAGATTCACATTTGGAGACGTGGACGCTGGTGAAGTTTAATGTGAATTTACTTTGAAACATTTCCTGTTGCAGAGCTACAGTATATTTTGAGCTTTGAGTTACGATGAATGACTTTAGTGAGGTTGTAAAAATACTTCCATCCGTCCATCCATTATCTTCCGCTTATTCCAAATTTGGGTTGCAGGGGTAGCAGCTAGGCCCAGACATCTCTTCCAACTCTTCTGGGAGGACTCCAAGGCGTTCCCAGGACAACTGAGAGACATAGTCTGTCCAGCGTGTCCTGGGTCTTCCCCGAGGTCTCCTCCCAGCACATGCCCGAAGCACCTCGTCCAGGAAGCATCCTCACCAGATGCCCAAACCACCTCAACTGGCTCCGCTCGATGTGTAGGAGTAGCGGTTCTACTTAGGCCTGTCACGATAACACATTTTGCTGGGCGATTAATTGTCTCCGAAATTATCGCGATAAACGATAATGTTTGAAATTTGACAATAATTAGTAATTGTCAAATTTAATAAGAAATGTTTGTTAATTTTTGTGTGTAGTACCTTTTTGTGACTACCGGATGGCAGTATGAGTCTGTTTGAACCGTAGGATGGATAGTGAGGGAGCGATCAGCGTGTCTGTTTTTCTGTTCTCAAAATGGCGGACACTCGGTGTGGTTTGAGCTCTTTAGCGTTTTTCACACAAAGCTTTCAATAAAAAACTGGTTAACAAGTCCTCAGCTTCTTTTTGCAGAAAAAAAAACAACTTTTTACACAAAGGCACGGGTTTCAACTGTGAATTTTGGAGCTTCGACAAGACGGAGGTTATTCCCGAGGTCGGCCTGTTAGCTTAGCTTCTCAGCTTAGCTGCTTTTAACGATCCAAAAACGCGATTTTGGACGGTTAAAACTGATTTTTAAAAAGAAAGGGAGGGGTCAGTGAAGAGTTGGCCTTTTGTCGTCCAGTGTCTTCAGTACAAAGAGAGAGACAAGAAGAAACGATAAAGTCGATAAATGAAAATGAGGTCGATAATTTTCATTTTTCATGCAATTAATTGATTTATTGTTTATCGCGACAGGCCTACTGTTGACACATGAATAGCAATGAAACAATAAAAGTACAGTTTAAGTTTCCCTCATTCTCCATCATCCTGACAGTGACTCTGAGGTAGCCATTTTGAGGGACAACCTCAAAGATTGTTTGATTTGCGTCGTTTCCGTCAGCTCAGTGTCATTTTCAGTAATAAACACAAGAGATGCAGAACTGTACACGAGAATCCATGCGCAAGATGAGAGTGCCACAAAACAGCTGCACAGAAATAGAAAAGTGCAAATTCATTCCTTCATGCAAATGTAGCAACTGGTGAAGTCCCATTTTAGCTTCTTGAGCGTAGGTTTGAACATGTCAAAGTTTTTTTTACTACGTTCACTTTGAAATAACACAGTTTATTATTATGTTCATTTTAACAAATGCAACATTTTATATCTTTAACAGCATTCTAATTCCACACAAGGTTAATGTAGTTATTTTTATACCAGCTTTAACATGGACTTTACCATAACATCCACGCAACATCTACTGTTTTTTTAATTTTACTTAATACTTTTAATACAATTTTAATATATAAAAAAATGCTAAAGTTTGCATAATCTCCTCTTGGTTTGTTCTACACTTTAGAAAGTAAGAAATCAGAATTTGGTGAAAGGGTAGATAAGTTATATCAGAACTTTCATTTCGTCCAAGATGGCGGCAAAGAAAAAACTGACCAAGACCGCACAAAAAGAAAGGAAACAACAAAAGGACTTGTTTTAGTGAGATACTCTGAGAGATACTGTATGTTATCATCCTCGTTTGTAAAATGTATCACTCAGGGATAGATACTGGACTCTAGCGTGACACTGTTGGAGCCCAAGTCGAACTCTGTAATGAGGCTGAACCCCCAAAATAATATGAATTACAAAAGTAAAACAATAATTATTTCAGCTACTTTGATGTCCTCAAATTCCCAAAATACTGATTGTACTCACATTTTGAAGATACTCGTAGTGCTAATCTAAATGTATTTGTTTTTTAACTAGTTTTTTTCACAATGCCGTTGACAATAAAAAAAATGCATCAAATCAGCCAAAACATACAGAGAAAGGTTAGAAAACAGAAAAGATAAGAACTGTCACAAAAGATGCATTTAATCAGGAATGAAGATCCATACAAGACAATGGTCAGTTGGGGTCTGGATCCAGATCTTTTCCTGACTAATACCTATCTATTAGTTAACTCTTTGGTCTTCAAACTATATCCCTACACCTCAACTGAACTGAAGTTTCCCAAGGGCTTGGAAGCCAACAACGAGACAATGGTTGGTTGGAGTGCAGATCCAGATCTCCACACTGTGAAGTATTTCAGTTAACGCCATGTCCATACACTTCAGAGAAGCTGAAGTCCAACGGCTTGTCCTACAACCAGACAAAGGCTGGTTGGAGTGTGGATCCAGATCTTTTCTCAAGGATCAGTTACCCATGAAGTATTTGATCTTCATGCTAAGTTCCTGCACTTTTTACTACCTGAAATCAACAGGCAATGGTAGAAGCGCAGATCTAGTACTTCTCGGAAACCTAAAACCAGAAGTGCACTGGTTGGGTCAGGGAGATTAAGGCTTTTATTGGTAGTATAGTACAACTATGATAAAGTTTCTAATTTAGCTTGTTCTGCTTAGTGATGTAGTTTGGAAACCACAAAACCCTCTTTTCTGCAAGTTTCTGGCATTCTTCTTGATTTTGGATAGTTTTTGTAGTTTGCGCTTTTGCGATCAGATCGATTTGAGCGGAGTTCAGCAGTTCAAACATAAACTCAAACGCCTATTTTATAGCATCTCCTAAACCTCCGAATAGGCCAAACGGTGACACCAGTATTGTGAAGATAGTTGTGCTTGTTCCCTGAACTGTTAATTGACTGGGGGGACCTCTGCAGTGACTACCTGCTGGAAGTCAGACTGATTCATGCGCCATGAAAGAAATGACTTCACTGATGAGTTCAATGAGAACGGCTTTACACAGCATGCATTAAGAATGAGCTCGAAGAAGATCAAACGGCATCTGGCACACAATTTCTCACAATGTAAGCATGAGAATCCAGTTTATCAACATAATGCCATGGAGATGTCTGTTGTTGCATAGTTTATGACATGGATAGAGAGATTTTTTTGCACCAAGGCAAAAAGATACAAAATTAACCACATCCATGTCGGCTGATGGGCGATGGGAGAGTTGACTTGAGGATTTAAAAAGACTCTCAAAAACAACTCACCGAGCGTGAGTGGCGAAGACCTTTAACCTGATTGGACCGCTTTAGGGACGCGGTCCTACTACCTGCCTCCTGAGAAGATGAAAATATTCAGCCACATCTGTAGGACATAACCCTGAAAATTGATTTGTAAGTTGTGCATTCTCTAACACCAAGTAAAGAAAAGGCTTTCCGTCAATGACAGCAGAAATTCTTCCCAATTTTTGTTACCCATAGACGAAAAGGGTACAATTATCTGATTGAGACATACCCTTGCTGCGTCGTACTTGGCTGCTCTCTCGTTGTTGGCCTTCTCGGCCTTCTCTGCCAACTTCTTTTGCATCTGAGGGCCCCTTCCGAAGAAGATGTAGTTGACGAAGGCGTACTCGAGAAGGGCCAGGAAGACCATGACAAAGCAGCCCATCAGGTACATGTCGATGGCCTTGACGTATGGGATCTTAGGTAGCGTCTCTCTCAAGTGGGTGTTGATGGTGGTCATGGTCAGCACAGTGGTGATCCCTATGGTCACAAGAAAACTGTTGTATTGTTTGCAGAAAACAATCAACAAATTATTACAAATTTAGTATATTTTTTAAATCTAGTAAGTTTAGATCATACAGTGGAGTGGAACACCCTACAGACTGATCTGAAGCTGCCAGGACTCATGTCTTTTAGAGCCTTCAGTTCAATCCTACCTGAATGATACCTGTTTTTAACCGTTACTTTTTTACCCATTGTCTGTATTTTAACTATTGACTGTCTAAAAAAGTTAAATCTGGTCCTCTGGACATTCAAAGAAAACAAAACAAAGCAAAACAACAAAAAATGTAGAAACGTTTCGTCTCTCATCCGAGAGACTTCCTCAGTCTGAGGTGCTGTATTCTCTAACACCAAGAACTCCAAGATGGCCGCGCTCAGAGCAGTTGCAGCTTCACAGGCTCCCGGTACCATCCCAGTTTTTAGAAGTTTTGATATTGACTCTGTGCCTGACTCCGCGCGATTTATGCGTGTGAACTATAGCCGAACCGAACTGATGAGAATAGGAGCGGATTTGCCACGAAATATAGCAGAAATCAGCAACAAACTCAAAGCTACGCTCGGCAGAATGCAGATCTTAAAGTCATCTACCTGGAAGCTGCAGCAGAGGCGTTCCAGCGGGCAGAAGAGGAAGCGCTGCTCCCGGCTTAAGAGGAGAGGATGCCGGGCGGGGGTTATGGTGAGGCTACGAGCTAACGCTAAAGCCGGTAAACTCCCCATGCCGTCTCTCTTTCTGTCGAATGTCCGCTCGTTGGACAACAAGGTGGATTTACTTCGTCTGAGAGCGGGCGCCTCAGAAGAGATGAAGAAGTGTGCGGTGCTTTGCCTCACAGAAACGTGGATTACAAGTGAAACGCCGGACTCAGTCTTCCAGCTGGATGACAGACTTTTTTTTCGAGCGGACCGCTGCAGCGAGCTAACGGGGAAATCATGGGGGGGCGGAGTGTGCATTTACGTGAGTAAAAGTTGGTCCACGAACTGTACTGTTGTAAATAGCTCATGCTCGAAGGCTTTGGAGCAAATAACAGTGAAATGTCGGCCACATTATCTACCCCGAGAGTTCACAGTGACTTTTATCACAGTTGTTTACATTCCTCCGGACGCTAATGCTAATGAATCACTACAGGAGCTACATGATATCATCAGCTCGCTGCAGAGCAAACACCCCGAGGCTCTTTACGTTGTAGCCGGAGACTTTAACCACGTGAATCTAAAGGACTGTCTCCCAAGCTTTAATCAGCATGTGACGATTCCGACACGTGGAGACCGCACGCTGGACCGTGTTTACACGAACGTAAAAGATGCATACAAAGCCGAACCCCGCCCCCACCTAGGACTGTCAGACCACATCTCAATCTTCCTGGCTCCTGCTTACATGCCCCCGCTGAGACGCTCCAGACCGGTACAAAAGAAAGTTAAATGTTGGATCCAGGACAGTGGACCCATACTGAGAGATTGTTTTGATCGAACAGACTGGCAGGTTTTCAGAGAAGCTGCTGAAAATGGAGGTTCGCTTGATCTTGACCAATACACATCCTCAGTACTGGGTTACATTAGTACATGTACTGACACAGTCTCCACTATCAGAAATGTTAAAAGCTACCCAAACAGAAAACCTTGGCTGAATGCAGAGGTGCGTACCCTGCTGGAAGCCAGGAACACTGCCTTCAGGTCTGGAAACTCAGAGGAGCTGAGTAGGACAAGAAAAGAGCTGGTTGCTGGTATTAAGAGGGCCAAGGGCACATATGCAAAGAGGATCGAGGGTCAATTCATCTCACAAGACCCTCGGAGCATGTGGAGGGGCATTAAGTGCATAACAGATTATAAAGGAAGGAGTGAACAATGTCCCAAAGACCCATCTCTGCCTGATGCCCTCAACAAGTTCTATGCACGCTTTGAAGACCCGAACAGACCACCCAGCACCAGACTCACCTCACCACCGGATGAAGAGCATCTCAGCGTGACCTCAGCAGAAGTAAGGAGTACCTTCAGGAGGATTAATCCGCACAAAGCAACTGGCCCAGACAACATCCCCGGAAAAGTGTTGAAGGAATGTGCTGATCAGCTCTGTGAGGTGCTGGCAGACATCTTTAACACCTCACTTACCCTGGAGACAGTTCCCACCTGCCTGAAGACTGCCACCATCATCCCAGTCCCAAAAAGCTCTACAGTGACTGGTCTGAATGACTATCGGCCAGTGGCCCTCACCCCGATAGTCGCTAAATGCTTCGAAAAACTGGTCATGACTCACATCAAAACAACCATCAACATCAACGAGGACCCTCATCAGTACGCATACCGTGAGAACCGATCAACAGAGGATGCAATCTCCTCTGTGGTCCACACTGCACTCAACCACCTGGAGCAGAAAAACTCTTACGTCCGTATGCTCTTTGTGGACTTCACATCCGCCTTCAACACCATGATCCCCCAAACCCTGATGGACAAACTATCCACACTAGGACTAAGCCCCTCCATCTGCAACTGGGTACTAGACTTTTTAACAAACAGACCACAGTTAGTGAGGATCCACAACCTCTCCTCCTCCACCATAACCCTCAGCACTGGCTCTCCTCAGGGATGTGTGTTGAGCCCCCTCCTGTTTACTCTGCTCACATATGATTGTGCAGCTACCCATCCAGGCTGTCACATTGTAAAGTTTGCAGATGATACAGCGGTGGTGGGATGCATCACAAACAATGATGAGTCCAGCTACAGGCAGGAGGTGGAACACCTGGAGAGCTGGTGCAGAGAGAATAACCTTCACATCAATGTGAAGAAGACAAAGGAGATGATTGTGGACTTCAGAAGGAACAAAAACACCTACACCCCCCTGAACATAAGAGGATCTGCGGTGGAAGTGGTCTCCAGCTACAAGTACTTGGGTGTGCACCTGAATGACAACCTCAGCTGGAGCAACAACACCACCAGCCTGATCAAGAAAGCTCATCAGAGACTCTACTTCCTCAGACGGCTGAGGCGAGCTGGTCTGGGAAGCTCAGTCCTCACCTCCTTCTACAGGTGTGCAGTGGAGAGCATCCTGTGCTCGAGCATCAATGTGTGGCATGGAGGCTGCACAGCTGCAGAAAGAAAAGCTTTGCAGAGAGTGGTGAAGGCTGCACAGAAATCTGTTGGAGTCAGTCTCCCCACCATCACAGACATCTACACCTCCAGATGCAGGAAGAGGGCCACCTGCATCATGAAGGACCCCACCCACCCAGCACACACACTTTTTGCCCCACTCCCCTCAGGAAGGAGGTTAAGGAGCATTAAGTGTAGAACCACTAGACTGAGGAACAGCTTCTACCCTGAGGCTGTTAGACTCATGAATCTCTAACTAGAATAATCACTGTGAAAAACCATATCATGTTGCTGCTGATCTGTTTCATGTTGCTGCTGATCTGTTTCAATGTTGATGTGTTCATGCGTGCACATCTGCTCACAGACTCATGTTCATGTTTGTGCTGATGTTCAATGTTTTATGTTATGAGTGCTTAGTGTATATTTAGTTGATGTTTTTCTTAGTTCATATCTTAGATGTTATTACTGTTTTTCTTATACATTTTATTGTTGGATGTAACTGGGACCCTGTGTACATAATTTCGCTCCACCACATGTACCACATGAGGTGCGAATGACAATAAAGAAACTCTGACTCTGACTCTGACTCTGACTCTGTATTCAGCTCAGTCTCTTAAATAGCACCTTCTCAGAGTGGATCAACCAGTTTTGCTGCTGACAACCAAAACCAGCTGATCACATGCTCAAGAAGGACCATCAGCCTAACAATGGATCATTAGCACACTGATGGCTGTTTACTGTTCACAGAGGGCTGAGTGATACTAGCAATCACAGCATTGTAAGAGGGGGACAGTTGAACCTGGAGGCCTCCACCCCTGTTTAATGATGGACGATTTATTTTCACAAAGATGGCCTCCTTTACTCCTCTCTCAAACCATCGTTCCTCTCTGTCCAGGATGTGCACATCTTCATCCCTGAAAGAGTGACC